CCCAAGTCAAGGTCCCTATTATCTGAAATAAAAGCAAAACATTAGATGAAAAATGGAATTTAGAAGGGAACTTTGATATTGTGGTAACTGAACCTTGCTTGGTGAATCTTATGTCATGTCTTTCAAATGATTCAATGTCTTTTTAAAAATGCAGTCCCAGGGGCGAAAAAATAGAAATATTTTGTGGGGGACCCGTCTACCATTACCACTGCACTACACCAAACGTTTTGCCACCACCAACCATCTGTCATCTATCCACACTCAGTATCTGGCATGGTCCCTTTTTGTAGATGCTCACCACGGACGAATCAGTCTCATTAGAGAGCTAGGTTAAGATACCCCGGTTTCGGTGTACGGGTACGAGTAGTGTCATCTTGTTTTACTGATGTCTGTAATTCGATCATACTTTTTCTGTTTTCTTGCAATAGACAATGATATAATGCGAAAAATGTGCACCTTAATTACGAGTAAAGGTACAGACATCGACGAAAATATTGCTCACCAAAATCATGCTACCCGTACACGTACACCGAAACCGGGGTATCTTAACCTCTCTACTAAAGGCCCTAAAGCAACGTGAAGCGGCGGAGGCAACCATTGAAACAGGCTGTGAACTTATTTTTTGTGGGCGGCAATGTTGGTTGATTATACTGCTGGCCAATATGGTTACAGAAATGTCAGCATTGATCAACATGCACAACTTTATTCGTTGTATGACGCTAAAGACCAAGCCTAAACGCATTGTAAAACAACATGAAAACTTTTCATTATTTTGATTTTTTTTATAAAGCTAGAAATCCTGGTAATGTTTCTGAGAGGAATCTTAGATTTAAATTTGAGCTAATTTGCTCGAAAGAAGTTCTCAATTTCGTGAATGGCGTTCGAATTTCGAGGTGTAGTTCTTGTAAAAAAATAGGCAACCTGCTGATCTGTCTATAGAAAAACATTAAGCACTATCATGCATTACAGCATTAGTTTCGTGTGTGGTTGGTGCTGAAGGGATCACAGTTGGAGGCAAACAAATTACCTACAATTGCCGTGATTTGTATCTAAGGGTGAACAGTCGAAGATACAAACATTATCTTTGCCACTCACAGCAGAGCCAAACCTACAACGTCCCTTTTAATCGTAGCTGATTAATTGTGCTTTTCATTTGAAGCTCGAAGATTCAAGCGGCGGAGGTTCAAAAATTTTGCAGCCGCCAAAATCACATGCAGGAAAACACTCTGTATCAGTGCAGCAACTAGTTCATCAGTACGCTTGTCCGTCAGTCCATTGTCCGCAACTAGGTAGACTCCGAGCATGTACGACAATGTACCGAAACTTTTACGAGAACGCACGAGTTTTAGGCGGGAAATACAGCGAACTCGCCGAACTTTGACATTTCACATAAATAACAAAACAAAAACATTCAAAATTTTAATACTAAATCGATACTCGATCAACTCAGACTTCAGTTAATTTATAAATAAGAAATGGATAACCTTGACCTCCCTCCAAAGGTTCTACAAGCATTACAAAAGCTGGAAATAACAACGTCAATTACGTCTGTTCTAGAAATGTCTGTACCTGAACTTGTTAAAACAACCAAACTATCGGAGCATGAGGTTGAAATGCTGAAGAAAGCTGTTTCTGAAAGAGTTTATACACGTCCTAGGTTTGTTACTGCTTACGATTTCTACTTAATTCGTTGTAAACTGAGCCTTGGATGTCCAATTCTAGACGAGTATCTTAGCGGTGGCATCCGTCCCGAAGGTATCACGGAAATTTACGGTGAAAGTGCCTGTGGAAAGACTCAAGTTTGCCTCCAGTTATGTTTGATGGTACAGTTACCGTTGAAACTCGGGGGGCTAGAGGGTGGCGCTGTGTATATATGTACTGAAGATAAATTTCCTGCCAAACGACTAGAGCAGATGAAACCGCAGTTTAAACAACAATATCGAGAGTTTTTAAGAGATACCAATGTCGGAGACAACATCTTTGTCAAGCATGTTGTTGATGTGAAAGGATTGATTGACATCTTAGACAACAAGTTACCAGTATTGATGAAGCGTACAAAAGTGAAGCTTCTTGTCATAGATTCTATCACAGCTTTATTTCGTGTGGAATATTCAATGGATGAGATGTACGAAAGAGCACAAGTTTTAAATAGAATTGGAGCTCGATTAGTACAACTGAGTCACAAAAATAACATGCCAGTCGTCTGTGTGAATCAGGTATAGTTGCTTGGAGAGGCCTAAAAAATACCTGTGGTTCCGATTTCATATCGTGAAAAAATTAGGGTCAGTAGGTCGGAAATAAATTTTTTTAAAATATTTTTTTCATGGTTTTGGCGTTTTTTTGCTGGGTGATTTGCAGTAGAGCCCGACATCAATATTAATCAGTGGCGTAACAAACTCGATAATTGGGGGGGGGGGGCAATATTCATATTTTCGTGTTCACAGACCTTGAAAACAATTGATTTCAAAAGAAATTAATAAGGCAGAACACGAATATATGAATATTGGCCCCCCCAATTATCGAGTTTGTTATGGCACTGATATTAATTAACTAGAGATGCATATTTTCTATGGACAAATTTAGGCAATTTGGTTCAACAATTAGTGTGACAACAGATGCCAATTTTGGCACTCTGTATGAGCAGCCCGCAACCACCTGGAGAAAATAGGGTTGCATGGTCAATTGCGTTGAAAAAATAATAGGGTTGGCAGAAAAAATAGGGTCGGTCGGAAACTGGAACCACAGGTATTTTTTTAGGCCAGATGGATGTTAGACTTGATCCCCCAGTATCACTGTAGGAAAAACTTTTGAAGATTTACCATGTATACTATCAATGTAAAAACTGAACTCTTACCATTATTGGTTATTATAGATTTCCCACATGGTAAATTGATAAAAACCATTATGTTTAATATTCACCATTAATGGTACTTTCCTCATGTGCATGGGAAAAATAAATTACCATTAGTGGTAAAAATTAAACATCATGGTTTTTACCAATTTACCATATGGGAAATCTATAATAACCAATAAATTAATGTAAAGTTCAGTCAAATTTACATTTAAAAACTCAATTTTTTCTTGTGTATGCTAACATGGTCATATGTAAAAACTGGTAGATCATTCCAGGAAGATACACACTCCTCCAGGAAGGATATTTGCACTGCTTGGATCGATTTACTGGGGGTGCAGGGGGAGGTGCACCCCTCCTAAAGGGGCCCTACAGTCATTTTTTTAGTCAAAAAGCCACCTTAAGTAGGGGACCCCACAGAGTTTCGTTTGGCTGTATCTTACATGCAGTATCCATGAGTATGAGTACTTCCGCACACCGGAAGACACATGCATGCTGTGGTGCACATGTCAAGTAGCGACAATGGGTCGTTCCAGAAATGATCCACACTCCCCCCACGGAGGGGATTTCTCCCGTCCGGAAGGGGAGGGGAGACAAAATTGTTAATGCAATAAATGCCGCAATAATAGTAAATGTATTTGGACATCCAAAGGGGGTAGGGGGGTTAACTTCCAAATATTTCATAATATATCAAATCCATTGTTTGGATTTGGAAAGGCAATTATGAAAACAACATTACAACAATAGGGACAAAATGAGATAGTTAAGCTGAGTGTGATTGTGAAATTGTCAAAAGCCAGTCTACAGACTATAGTGGCTTGCTGCTGCAGCTCTGTCTTGTAAATTATGCACAGATTTGGCCTATGGCCGTGCACCCTGAACCCCCCTACTCTGAGTCTGCAACTGGGTACATACGGCCTGCAAATAATTGTTTTTCTTGGAAGGACAGATTGTCCGATCAACACAAAAAGTGGCCGGACATTTATTAGTTTTTCTCGGACAATGGATGAAGGAAAAATTTTCATGGTCTTTTTCATATTAACATGATGTACAGTATTTTGGCTGGTCGTTATGATCTACACTGCAGTGGATCTAAAACTGAGTATAAATCTAGTAACCTACCACCTGCATTTTCAGTGAATTATGGTTCAGGTTATACATAACTTTAATTTCTACCATGTTATAAGAAGATGATTTATACATATGTATTGTGTAATTAAATCTTATGGCTTAATGCAGCCAAGAAATAATGGAAGATCGTGTGTCCTTTATATTTCTTTGATTTCATTAATGAAATTGTGTTTAAATCAATATTTTGAGATTGGATATAAATAAATCTAATCTAAATATCGGTCAGTCAGATGTCCGATCCGAAAAAACTTTGATCAGACAAAAGGTAAAATTTGGCCAGACAATTGTCCGATGACCAGCACTAATTTGCAGGCCAGATGTACCGGGTACTTGTTCGCATTCACCTTGCAACTGCATGAGCCCTTTCCATACACATTTTCTGTTGAAAGAGATGCACAATATCATGAATCACTTCATTTAATCCTTTAAGTGGGAATGGATCGATCATTCCGGAAAACATCAATACCTCGCCAGCAATGGTGGAGATTGGAAGTTAACCCCACTACCCACTTTGTATGACCTAATTAATACAGTTACTATTGTCAGAAACAAATTTTTCTCTCCCTCCCCTCTGGATGGCAGACATTTCCTCTGTGGGAGGGTGGGGGAGTGTGGATCTTTTCTGAAATGAATCAATGCCCTGACGTGGCCTACTTTTATTATTTTACTCTTTCTAATGCCAGACAGTTTTATTGTTAAGAGGAGAGTGCTGCCATTCAATGGGTTAAACCCTTAAAATATCCTTAAAATTTATGTTCAAATGTAGAGAAGAACCCTGAAGAATTTCTGGAATGACTTCACAATAATATTGTAGCAAGTTTTTAGATTGTGTTAACATGCCAATTTAATGGGGCTGATCCTTTGGGTTTTCCTAACTGATCCTACACATAGTTATTAATGAATGAATGAATTAATTAATTAAGAACAAAGAGTGCACTTAATTTTGTACTAGGCCTAGAAAATATATTTCTTTTTCTGGAAGCAAAATCCAAAAATAAAAATTTCCTGTGTAAGTCAAATATAAACTTCCTGCATATGTACATTTCAGAGAGAACGTATGTTTCCGCACATTGTGATAATTAGCTTCCATCTCGGTACAAGATAATTTTGACTTGCAAAACGCGCTTTTGTAAACAATAGTAAATTATACGGCATTCTGGTATATAATTTATAAAGATGACAAAAATTTCCTGCAAGACGTATGAAAATTTCCTGCGAAGACATTTTGTTAAAAATTTGCTGACACCAGTGTTGCTCAGGCGCTGCCAAACATTTCCCAGCACTGTTTTGTACTGACAATCTACATTTGTCTGTAGTAGGTAATATGACTTGATCACAGGGATGGATTTACTAGGGGGGGGGGTGCCAGTGGGTGTGCACCCCCCTAGCCCTGGCCAGAGGGGGTACAGGAGGGGTGCTATTTTTCATGATAAAGCAAATAATTATTAGAGACAAAATGAGATACAGTAATTTGAGTAATAACATGATGATGTGAACTGTGAACAACAATTACAATTCAAATACAGTAGTCAAGCAAGACTTTGCAGTAGTGAAGCAAGTTGATGGGCGGGCGGCACGCATGACCGAAACAACTCGGCACCACAGGCAGCAGAGCAACCCCCCCCCCCTCCCGCCACCCCTACCAGATCATGCTGGATCCATCCCTGCTTGATCAGTGTGTAAACTCGTTGCACAATCACTTTCAGGTTGCAGCAGTGTTTGACAGACCTGTTCGCGACACAAAATGCAAGATTCACGATTATGTGAAACCATGTTTGGGGAAGACTTGGTCCAGTTGGGTTACAGTACGAATCATGCTGTTGAGGTCAACTGGTCAACATCTGGCTGAGAGGCAGTTGCCAAAGGGAGAATCAGACAACCCAGAACGTGAGCTTGTAGTTATATTTTCTCGGACAGGTGATCATTCACCTCTTGACAAAGCAATGAAAGCATGTCGTTATACAGTCGATGCTTCTGGTGTGCATGGCATACTTGTCAAGGATACTGATGACAAATGTTGCATATGTGGTCATGACTGATGTTGTGAATGGGGTCATGTTGCCCCCCTCCCCCTCTCCCCAAGGGTCAATGAACTCATCCCGATTGTTTACAAGATTGTGAAGTTGATTAGTTAAATCAACTCAAACTATCCAATCGTACTGCTTACTAGAAGGTGGGATTAATAAAGTAAACATTAGAGATGATAAAATAATTGCCAATTACTGAGGTCGATTATAATGGTTTATTGACCGAGCGTGAGGTCTGTACTGTGAAATATCAGACTGAGGTTTTTTAGTATGGACCGAGCGACGAAGGAGCGAGGTTCATGCAAGAAACAGAGGTCTGATATTTCGCAGTACAGACCGAACAAGCGAGGTCAATAATCGGTTTATTATATGGCTGAACTGAGTCTGTGAGCATATGCTTTTCGCGCGAATTAATATCGTCAGTTTCACTATCGTCAGTTTCACTGGGTAACAATATACGGTAGGCATGCAAGCTCAATCAAAAACAATTTGGTTGTTTGAAATTTTTATCTGTAAAGCACAATTGGAAATTTAAAAAGCAAAAATTTTTCTGTTTGCAAAGCAAAAATTTCCCGCCAGATAAACGACATCCGGGACACCGGTCCTGATACGGAAAATAGGGACCACGGTCTGGATATGGGTTTTTACGGACCGCTTGTCAACCAATCAGAATAGAGAATTTTGAAAAGCCGTATAATAATACCAATTAATTGACCATCATAACAACATTATTGGCATCTACCTATTATGTTGTCATTCACCAGATCCGTATTGTCAAAGATTAGATACTATAAAGATGTGCCACTCGACGTATTTCCCTAATGTTTGCGTGTCCGTAATTTTCACTTACTGCCAAAATGGCGGCGAGACTGATGGCGTTGGATTTTACTATTTAGAGACTGATGGCATTGGATTTGACACTTACTGGCAAAATGGCGGCTATAAAAAAATCTCGGACATAACTTTCGCAGAGTGGCACATCTGTATAGTATCTAATCTTTGGTATTGTTCTCTTGAAAGTGACGTCACAACACTGTGATATCTGCCTACACAGATAAATTAAGTCGTCAATTCATGCATGCACTAGTAGGTTAGTAGCGCTAAAATATATTTTTACTGCCGCTACCTACTACAGATTACAGTGATATGACAGGTATTAATATTAAATCATCTCAACTATATTTGGAACTAGAGAGACACAACAACTGGAGCAGTTGCTGAGCTCCCGACAGTATTTATCGATGGTTTTCTACGTTATCCCCTGCTGGTGCAAAATGGCTTATAACAAAGGAATAAATGGAAAATCCATTATTTTTTTGCTCTGATAAGCATCGATACTTTGAAGTTGTCCACCAACATGGCCGCTTTGGCGGAACTTGAAATTAAACCACCAATAATATATAGAAGTGTTTTAAAATGACATAACGTGTACGTTTGCATACAGTCCTTAACCTGTGGACCCAAGAATTTCAGTAATTCAGTCTTCGCTATAATATTTGTGAGCCGACTTTTAGCCTGGGCTCTGTGATCTACTTTAGCCGTAGTCTATTAAGATATGATGCTCTGGAATCCCGCCAAACTTCAAAGCTACAAAATAGAAGGCCTTTGTTTGATGTTGAACTGTACCTCGCCGTGCACAAATCCTTTGTCTCCATCATGACTGCATGTTTCATCTCAAGCTATCCCTATTGGACGGTTACTTCATTATACGAAAATAACATGAGCTCAATCACCGTGACCGTGCAAAATTAACATAAACTCAGACAAAAACATGCATCATATTTTGATATAATACATCATATTTTGACTATGGATAGCGCTATCACCGGGTAGCGATTTTTTGAAGCCTTCTAAAACTGGCCAGTTTTTGGTGTAACCCAAATTAAGTGATACTGTGATAGTATGAATAAAGTGGAGTTTCTTTTATTATTTCTGGGCTCTATATCAATAGTTTTATAGCTTTTAAAGCATATTTATGCCGGTTGAAAATTTGCCATTAGGTGAATAGCGCTGTCCAGCCTTCGCACAACCGGTCCCTCGTGAACACAGCAAAAACACGCATATGTAGTTTGATTTTTATGAAAATCGAATCCCTGTGTATGTATGCCATTTTGTAACGTGAGATCGGAGATGGAGAAAAAGGCCGACTGAAACCTATAGTCGCTCTCCCCAGCGACTAATTATTCAAAGTAAACATGGCGCCAAAGCAAGACTGCTGTGGCATTGACTCCGGCTGTTGCTTTTGTTTGAGCACTTTATTTTTAAAAAGTTATTAATCCCACAGCTGTGTAGTAGTCGGTTGAATAAAATATTTTTGCTCCCAAAATAGCGGATTATTAGTCGGCACAGCTCGCAGCGATTCTAGGTTTCGGCACAGCTCGCAGCGATTCTAGGTTGTGTCGGATCTTAGAAATAATAGACATGTCTATTATTTCTATGATCGTTAGCCACAAAATGAACATTACGTCATTAATAAAAAAATAAAAATACGTCATTATTAACTATTCGTCGCTTGATTCAAGATGGTCGCTTACATATTTTAGTATCAATTTGTGACAACTTCATCGATTTTGTTTTATTTTTCCGATGAAACTTAAAAGTTTTCCGATGAACCAGACTTTATAAAGCGAAAGTCATTTTATCATTTTTATGTGAGTAAACATGGAAGGCTACAAGCTTGAAATAGAGGACAAAAGTTCACAATTTTCAATTTTACAAAGTTGGAATGGCAAGAATTGGCAACCTTTGCAAATCGTAACAATATAAATATTCGCAAACTGCTGTTTATTTGGATGCTTTTTTCTACGCTCTTGATGCAAATAATCCTGGGTGGGTGGTAAAAATACGGATGGGTGGTAAAAATAACATGGTGTAGCATAACAAGACCGAAATACAACCACAGTGATCATCATTCATCACTACACTTTGCCACTAGGCTTGTAAATCTGTAATATTTCAGTCATTACATGACTCAATGTATTGTGTTTCTAACGGGGAAATGTTGGGGCCACAGTAATAGACTCTTTCAAGGTCAAGATGCCATAATGAAACACAATACTGCAAGGGCTGCAAACACAATTAATGGATTCCCTATAGGTAAATTTGCAAGGGGTACCGTAAACCTCTGAATATAAGCCCCCCGAATATAAGCCCCACCGTGTATCAAGCCCACCACATGTACTAACGCTCACCTCATTCCAAATATAAGCCCCCCCCCGAATATAAGCCCACCTGAATATAAGCCCACTTGTTTATCACTATTGTTTATCACTATTTATTGTATACATGACAAAATTACTGCAATCTGATTTGTTAAGAGGAGTGCAATTATTTCATTAATTAATGATTTTCGTGATGGCTGGGGGGAGTGGGAAATCAAAACAACAAAATCAATATGGCGGCGAAGTTTAAATAAGTATTTCTGACAAATGTGGACGAATTTAACTGAATTTTGGCACAAGAATGAGTTTAAAAAAGATTGTATGGCAAAAAGAGCCTGTGGAAAATACCTGGAAGCAGTTTTGAGAAATAATCTCGGCGGGATGCAGCGAAACATGACTATGTAAGTTTGAAATACAATTCATAAAGATTTTCTTAGTCTAAAATATGTTGTTTGAGTTTGAATTTTATGTTCTAATTTAAGTTATGTGCCTTTTTGAGTTTATAATCATTTCCTAAATTTGTTTATACCAACAAAGCGCAAATGGCTCAAGTCCAGGATTCAGTACTACAGCAGTCCAGGATTCAGTACTACCACTGCGTCATACAACTTGACTACCACCGCTATTCTAGCATAGATAAATTTGTACCTAAAAAGACAGTCGTTGACACCAACACACCACCTTGGATAGACCGGGATTTTAAACACATGATTAAGAAGAAATACACAGCTCTACGACAATATCGTCAGAAACGAACGGAAGGACGAAAACGCGAACTCCGTCAGTTGATACAGGAAACTAAGGACTTGATTAAACAAAAACGCCATCAATACATAGAAAAAGTTCAAGATTCCCTCGCAAAATCACCTAAGTTATTCTGGTCCTACCACAAACATATCCTCCGCAGTAGAAATTCCCCACCTGCTAACACGTACAACAACTCAACTGCAACAACACCACACAAAAAAGCAGAACTTTTCAACGCATTCTTCGCCTCTGTTATTCTTCCGAAGTCATCTTCCCAAGATGCAAACCTGAACATGACGCCGAAAACTGACGAAATAATATCTGATATTCAGATCTCGCAGAATGAAGTCGAGCAGTACCTTAACCATTTGGACACAACAAAGGCTTATGGCCCAGACGGAATACCACCACGTCTACTGAAAGAATTCTCAAGAGAAATGTCGACAAGCCTCTGCAGTTTGTTCAACATGTCCTTAACAACAGGCCGCCTACCTATGGAATGGAAACATGCGAACGTTATACCCATCCACAAAAAAGACTGTGTCGAACCCATGACCAACTACCGTCCCATTTCCCTTCTGCCAATAATTTCCAAAGTTCTCGAAAGATGCGTTTTCAATAACATTTACCCCTTTGTTCGTGTACTGATCAATAATGTCCAACATGGCTTCTTAAGAAATCGTTCATGTATAACCCAGCTTCTAGGTATACTACATGAAACTGGTAAAAATCTGGATCGAAACAAACAAATCGACGTGCTATACCTAGATTTCTCGAAAGCGTTCGACTCTGTAGATCATGACATCCTACTTCACAAACTACAAATGCATGGCATAAACGGAACGCTTTTACGATGGTTCGAAAACTACTTGAACGATAGATGGCAGCGAGTTGTCATTGATGGTGCAGCCTCTGCATGGTCTCCAGAAAGATCTTGGTATGCTCGTGACCAGCAATTTGAAATGGGGCCCACACATACTCAAGATGGTGGCGAAAGCAAATAAAATGCTTGGTATCCTCAAACGCTCATGCTTTGACATTAACCACACCCAGGTCAGACGGACTTTATCTAACGCTAGTTAAATCTCAACTTGTTTATGGAAGCGAGGTATGGTGCCCTCCTAACAACAGCCACTTATCAAAGAAAATCGAAGGAGTTCAAAGAAGAGCAACGCTGTGGATACTAAAGAAGAAAGGCGGAGAACTAAGTTACAAACAGCGCTTAATGCAACTTAATTTAATCCCGCTTGTATACGACAGAGAACAGAAGGACTTGATATTTTTCTATAAATGCATGTACGGTCTCACAGATTTTGACATATCGCAGTATGTTGAAGTTACAACGGGAAGGACACGCGCGGCCACTTCTGGTCTTCTAAGAACACAAGCATGCAAAACAAGTACATTTCAAAGTTCGTATTGTGTTAGAATTGTTAAACTGTGGAACTATGTTTGTACGTCTGCTCCTTCGTATTGTTATGTCACTGTCTCCTCTTTTAAGTCATACTTGAGCAAGACTTACATCCACCTCACTAGTACTTCCTACACTCCTGACTTACCTAGTTCACACTCACTTATCACGACTCAATAAAAATATCTAACATTTCTCTCTTTGTCTTTTCATTCTTTCTGGCTTTTCATTCTCTTAGTCTTTTCATTTAATCTTCCTTGTCTTTGTTTCTTGTCTTTGTTTGTTGTCTAGTGGTGAGCACCTTGCATGGGACATAGTCTCGTTTGTGTTTCGCCACTTTTGGCACTTCCTCGTCTTCTTGTACAATGTAATTGTCCGTTTAAGTTGTGTAAATATTCAGTTTTTTATGTGCCAAATTAAAGTGTTAAAAAAAATTAAAAAAAAAAGAATTAAAAACTCTTGACAAAATGCAGTTGAATTTTAAAGAAAGCGATTTTGTCATGCATATAATAAATAAATAATCACACGGGCAAGTCGTGCAATTAATGATTAACACTGCTCGTGATATTTGAAAAATGTGCCAAATTGCATTTTCAAATATCACTCGTAGTATGTTTGCGATGTTACTCTGAGTGCATATCCACACCGGGCGAGCTTGAAAAATATGCCCGGCCACGGTGGGATTCGAACCTACGACCTTTGGAATACTAGCCCAATGCTCTTCCAACTGATCTACGCGGTCAGGACGGTTCGAGTAAGTGATATTTCGGAACAGTATCTAGTTCCTTCAATACCAATGTGTTCTAGTAATATGATTTTTTTTTCTGTGTTGGTGTTGTGTACTCAGGTGAATAATATGTTTGCGATGTTACTCTGAGTGCATATCCACACCGGGCGAGCTTGAAAAATATGCTCGGCCACGGTGGGATTCGAACCTACGACCTTTGGAATACTAGCCCAATGCTCTTCCAACTGAGCTACGCGGTCAGGACGGTTCGAGTAAGTGATATTTCGGAACAGAATCCAGTTCCTTCAATACCAATGTT